TACTGCTATCTCACTGTGCCCCAGGGGCTGGTCCGGCAGCACAACAGGCCTGGGGATTGAACCCCCAGCCTCTGTGCCCGCTTGCAGGTGCTTTAATCCGCTGAGCTATTTGGCCAACCCCCTATTTTGAATTATTGGTGAAACAGAATATAATCTTTTCCTTTCCCTTATATTGCAATTATATTTTTTAAATGAGGAAGATAATTTTCTTTTTCTTTAATAGTAAAAAATAAAACTTGTGAATAATTGACCAGTTTACTATACACATGAAATAGCTGTTTTTCTCTCCTCATAGAAACAACTGTATCTCATTTACCTGAACCTTATGTTCAATGACATTGGGCCAGAAGGTGGAGAACTGATTGCCAAAGCGCTACATGTAAGCATTATGTATACAAAACTGGCATTTTATCAGTGAATATTAACTTCTAATAGCTTGGAAATGACAATTCAATATTAATGTGAATTTATATTCTTTCAGCATCATAGGATTTGTGTACTGTGAGATGTAATGTCAATACTTTGAGTCAACTTGGAAAGCTGAGGAGTTTAACTAAGCACAGCTCAGCAGGGGGCCGGGGTCCTCTGTAAGCATCCTCTTCCTCTGGAGAAGAGGGCTGGCAGATGGTGTGGGCCACACCAGCTCTAAGGGGTGATGCCTGCTACAGTATAATGGAGGGACAGAGGCTTGCCGCCCCCCACCAGGCACGCCTGTGCTCTTGTTGCTTCTCCCAGCCTCCGATGGTTGCCCCTGTGCTGTGTCACCCTGCCTTGGAGCCAGCGGATTACTGGACTGAAACCTCCACAAACTGAGCTAATAAATTAAACTTTTCTTCCTTAATTTTGGGTGTCAGGTATTTTGTCTCAGCTAGGAGAGAAAAGTAACTAAAACCTAAGATTTGCAAATATTGTAGAATAATGTAAATTTTTATTCCATGTCAATTTATTAACATGTGGATGTTATGTGAGCACTTTTTTAATTTTGAGACAGGGTCTCTATGCCATTTGGACTGGCCTTGTGCTTGCTTGTTTTCTTTAATCTTTTATTTATTTAATTTTATTTGGTACAGGGTCTTGTTGCACTTCTCAGACTCGTAGTGATCCTCCTGTCTCCACTTCTCCAGCACTGAAATTATAGGCATTGCTCATGCGTGGTTTCGGTGGCCAGTTCTGTACCAGGCTGGCATGGCACATAGTACTGGGGATCAAACCTGGGGGCTGGAGCTTGCCAGGCAGGTGTTTAGACCTCTGAGCTATCTTCCCCAGCCCCGGGCTTAGCTTTTATAGACCCCAGGCTGGTTTTAAATTTGTAGCAATCCTTCTGTCTCAGCCTCATGCCCGGTTCACATGTGAGCACTTTTGAAATCACTATTTTATTTTATTATGCATTTGGTACAGGGTCTCGCTATGCATCTTGGACTCGAGGTGATCCTCCTATTCTCAGCCTCCCCAGCGCTGGGCTTACAGGTGTGCACCACCATGCCCAATCTCGGTAGCCAGCTCTGTGCACCCAGGGGCAGGGCCAGCACAGCATGTGGTGCTGGGGATCAAACTCCAGTCCCTGCACTTGCCTTAGCAGGCACTTAGTCCACTGATCTATTTTGACAGCCCTTGAAATCACTTTTTTTTTTTTTTTTTTTTTTTTTGTGGAACCAGGGATTGAACTCAGGCCCTTGCACTTGTCAGACAAGTGCTTATTCTACTGAGCCATCTCTGTGGCCCCTTGAAATCACTTTTTAAAGATGGCTTTAATGGGCTGGGGAGATAGCTCAGTGGAATAAGCACTTCCCTGGCAAGCACAATGCTCTTGAGTTCAATCCCTGGTTCTGCAAAAAAAAAAAAAAAAAAAAAAGATGGCTTTATTGAGAAACAGTTCATACATATAGCATTTACTTTCTTAAAGTCTTCTGAAATTTAGGGAGAATTTTAAAAGAACATTGAGACTCGGACAACCATTACCACTGTGGCTTTTTAAGAACATTTCATCACCCTCTCCCCATATCTGTAATTAGCACTCCCTTTCTACTGTTCTGTCCCTCCAGCCCTGACTCTCTGGTGATCCCTAAGCTACTTTCCATATATAGATTTGCCTATTCTGCAACGTGTCATATGGATGGAATCATACTGTGGCCTTTTGTGTCTGGTGTAATGTTTTCAGGGTTCATCCATGTTGCAGCCTATCTCATTTTTTATTGCTGAATAATGTTCTGTTGGGTGAGCTAAGCATAGTGGCACCTGTCTATAATCCCAACACTTGGAAGGCTGCGTAAAGAGGATCACTGTGAGTTCAAGCCCAGCCTGGGCTATGTAGCAAGATCCTGTCTCAAAAATAATTTGAGGCAGTATTTTGAGAAAGTGCAGAACTGTTTTTCAAAGTGGCTACACCTTTCTTTT